CCGAGTTAAACCTAAGTCGAGAAGGCTTCGACAAGATGGTGGCCGTGTGGAGCGATATGCTACCGAAGACACACATTATGTCGAAGAACTTGTATGAGTCAGAGAAGCTCCGTCTTGCACTTAAGATGCCGTATGACAAGATACATGTGTGTCCGAAGGGGTGCGTCCTACTTAGGAAAGAACACGCGGATGCAAAGTACTGCCCGAAGTGTAAATCCTCTAGGTACGTGGAGGTAGACTCAGGCGATGGCCAGAAGAGGCAGCTTAAGATCCCCATGAGAGTCCTACGACACCTTCCGTTCCTACCGAGGCTCTAACGGCTATTCATGACCAAGGAATCCGCGAAACAGATGACATGGCACAAAAACGGCACACAATACAATCCTGAGAAGATGGTACATCCATCCGATGCTGATGCATGGAAGTACTTCAATTCGCGGCATCCTCTCAAAGCAGAGGAGGCTCGTAATGTACGTGTCGCGCTGGCAACAGATGGGTTCAATCCATATGGCATGATGGCTGCACCATACACATGTTGGCCCGTGTTCGTCATCCCCCTGAATCTCCCCCGGCGTCTCCTTTCAACGGCATACCGTGTTCCTATCGTTGATAATCCCTGGATACCCAGGGAGTAATATGGGTGTCTTCATAGAGCCTGTGATAGATGAGTTGATCGATGCTTGGGTCAAAGGGGTGTGGACATACGACCGAGCTACGAAGACTAGCTTCAAAATGCACGTCTGGTACCACTACTCCCTGCACGACTTCCTGGCGTACGGGTTAATGTGCGCCTAGTGTGTTCAGGGGAAGTTCCCATGCCCAATATGCAAGGAAGCTATGAGGTTCATATGGTTGAAGAAGGGTGGCAAGTATTTGTCGTTTGACAAACATCATCAATTCCTCTCTCTTGACCATCCATTCAGAGAAGACGTCAAGAGCTTTACGAAAGGTGTCAAAGTGACGGACCCTAGACCGGACTTGAGGACTGGGGCGGAGGTTCGTGCTCAGATAGATGCTCTCATGCCCAACAAAGATGGTGGTTTCCTGGGATATGGTGAGCAACATATGTGGACTCATAAGTCTGGCTTGACGAGGCTCCCCTATTTCGATGACCTCCTACTGCCCCATAACATTGATGTCATGCACACTGAAAAGAATATCGCCGAGGCACTTTGGGCAACGCTCATGGACACTGACAAGTCTAAGGACAACCCTAAGGCTAGAGTGGACCTGGCGACGTTCTGTGATAGGCCAAACCTAGAGATGCGGCCTCCTACAACAGGAAAGCAGTGGAGAAGGCCTAGGGCCCTCTATGTCTTGAAAATCGATCAAAGGAGGAAAGTACTTCGATGGATTAAGAATTTAATGTACCCTGATGGGTATGTAGCGAATCTGAGCAGGGGAGTGAACCTAGAGACTCTACGAGTCAACGGGATGAAGAGTCATGACTACCACATATGGATTGAGCGCATACTTCCGTCGATGGCTCAAGGCTATGTCCCTGAGCATGTCTGGCTAGTGCTGGCAAAGTTGAGCTACTTCTTTCGCCAGCTTTGTGCCAAGGAGCTATCTTCGACCGTCATTACAGAATTGGAAACTATGGCACCTGAGTTGGTCTGTGAGCTTGAGAAGATCTTTCCACCTGGCTTCTTCTTGCCGATGCATCATCTGATTGTGCACCTCTCGACCGAGGCACGGTTGGGGGGGCGTGCAGGCCCATTGGTGCTATCCAAACGAGCGATGTCTAAAGACTCTTCACAATAAATGTACAAATAAAGCCAGAATTGAGGCTTCCATTGCAGAGGCAAGCATTCAGGAGGAGGTTGCAAACTTCACGACATCCTACTACAAGCCGAACCTTCCTAGCAAGCATAATCCACCCCCTCGTTACAATGCTGGCGAAGTTGAATCGACCCTCAGCCTTTTCAAATGCCAACTAGGCAGCGCAAGTGTATCGACCCCCAAGAGATTGGATCCAGAAGAGTGGCGCAGAATCACGCTATATGTGTTCACCAACCTTGTTGAGGTTGCGCCATTCATTAAGTAAGTTCTCAACGAACTTGTTTCAATACGACGTCACTATTCTGTATCGAACCCCATTGATTCTCTTTGGTATAGGGAATTTGTTCGTCAAGAGTGGCATCAATCAAGGGATCCTACCCCGCATGAACATGATACCCTTCTTTCAAAGGGTGCGGGAGCTGGGAGGCCTGATTTCATTTCTTGGTTCAAACAAAAGGTCGTACGTTCATCGATATTCCTTAGTAGCTCGTATGTTCCAATAGTATAACGATGTATCATGCTTGAGCTTGTAGGCGCAAACCAATGCGTCCATGAGTGATGAGTTGAGATAGGTTGAAAACGGCTTCAAGTTAAGGGTGAAGTCATATACCGGTTATGACATGAACGGATATCTCTTCCACACGTCAAGACACGAGCAGACTCGGCCCGGTCGGAAAACCACCAACAGCAGCCAAGTTTTTACGCTGGGCACTAATGGCGTCGAATACTACGGAATAATTGAGGAGATCTATGAACTTGAATATGAGGGCCGGGTACCTCTTACTCCTGTCATATTCAAGTGCCACTGGTTTGATCCTGCACGAACAAGATGGACCCCTCATCTTGGGCTAGTCGAGATTAGGCATGATTCCGTCTATAAAGGAAAGATGTCTATATTGTGGCTCAACATGTCGTGCAGGTGTATCATACGCCATACGCATGCCAAGACAAAGACCATCTTAAGGGTTGGTCTATTGTGCACCAGGTATCTTCTTCATACGGTAAACTACTGTTCCAAACAATGAAGGTTACACCTTGACACAAACACATATGATGGAGAGTTCTATCAAGCGGATGGGCTACAAGGGAGCTTTGAGATAGTATTACCCGTGTGATGACCGCCATGGAAGTAGACAATGAAAGCGGTTGATGACGAGGACCACGGAGATGTAGTGCTAAATCCGAAGGACATTCAAATGCTTGAGCGATTCCATTTAGGCAAAGACAATGAAGAAGACACGGAAACCTTCAAATAGTGTTGCCCATTTGGACAATTTTGATGGTGATGATGAGACCTATGACCCCAATCATGAAGATTATTCCTAAACCATGTAATACTATGTTTTTATTAAATTTTGTTATGTTTATTCATTTTGAACTATTTGACATGTATGTACTAATGCTTGTTGTTCATTCTTTGTACATTGCAGGTGACAGAACAAAGATGGTGGGCAATCGTTCACTGAGGCAGGTGCTCTCGGTGTACCAGAGGCTACGCCCTCCTGATGGAGGCGAGGGGACATCTTCGCCCCTAGCGGCGAGAGCAGGCCCGGGTCGCCCCAGCACGGGGAGGGGGAGGGGGAGGGGAAGGGGCCGGGGTCGCCCCAGGAGGGACCCGCCTCCTCCCCCGGCTCTCGACCAGCCGGAGGACCCGTCTCCTACCCCGGAGGGCCACGTGGCGGCTGATCACGTCAACCCTTCGCCGCAGTCCGATCCTTCACCGCTGTCCAGGGGGCCACACCTGCAGTCTCTGTCACCGATGTTGAACTTTGTGATGTTGAACTTGTAATAATAAACTTATGATGTTGAACTTTGGTACATTTGTGATGGATTTTCGATGGATTTATTAAATATGCGTGTGCTTGTGATATATAATGCATGTTGGTGATATAGATGTGATGATTGATGTATATATATATATATTGTCTGTTGCAATGGAATGTAAAAAAATTTGCAATTCTCGGGGTCTTTGCCGAGTGCCTCGCCATGGCACTCGGCAAAGTATTTTTTTTTAAAAAAAATCCAGAAATTCTTTGAAGAGTACCTAAACAGGGACACTCGACAAAAAAATTATTTAAAAAAAAAAAAACTTTGCCGAGTGTCTGGGCAGGGGTACTCGGCAAAGTAATTTTTTAAAAAAAAATTAAAAAAACTTTGCCGACTGCCTGGGCAGGGGCACTCGGCAAAATATTTAAAAAAAAAAAACTTTGCCGAGTGTCTGGGCTGGGGCACTCGGCAAAGTAATTTTTTAAAAAAATAATTTTTTTTTTGCCGAGTGCTGGTTCGGGCACTCGGCAAAATAACTGTTAACGGCCGGCGCGCAACAGCCGAAAATATTTTGCCGAGTGCCGCCCCAAGCACTCGGCAAAATTGTTTTTTTAGTTTGCCGAGTGCCCCGATAAAAAGCACTCGGCAAAGACCCTTTGCCGAGAAAAATTTTGCCGAGCGAACTTTGCCAAGTGCTACACTCGGCAAAGCCTTTGCCGAGTGCAACGGGCTCTTTGCCGAGTGTAAAAACACTCGGCAAAGCCGCGGCCTCCAGTAGTGAGAATAGGATGGAAGCAAAGATTGTTGACTGTTAAGTCATATACTAACTAAAAGGCACTAAAATCTATGCAAAAGGAGGAAACCAAGAGGTTAATTATTTGCTATCACAAGAATCCATGCGTTTAACTTCTCTTCAATGTTAAATAAAAAGAATTCTAATTCAGAACTGAATTTGCAATGTGTGTTCAGTGGGCTTTGAACCATGATGACTTGGTATAGAAACGTTTCGGACGTAGATTCTCTCAAGAAACATTTCTAATGATCAATTAGAATCATTTGTTGAGATCGTTTGGCTAGTAGACTTGATTCTGATTCAATAAAAAAAATCTTCATAAAAATCATATAGATAAAAATATTCTTAAAAAATCAGAACTTTTTGAGGGCTTAGAACAACTTAAATACAACCCATTTTAATTTATTGTACTTAAAAAATGATTAACTGGAAAAAATACAATTGCTAGTGAGACAGGAGACATGTGACTATCACGAATCGGTGTGAAACTAGCTTTTCCCCGTTCCTAGAGTTAAGTAGAACCGTTTCACTCCTCAATCGCTCCGCTCAAAACCCGTTCGGCGCTATTTCAAGCAATTCTGATAAGAATCAGAACAGATTCAATCATCCAAACGCACCGTGCCTATCAGTCGATCTCCCATTGCAGCTACGAAATACATTACTCATCCTTTAGCCAGTGACGAATCATGTACATAACAAAGCTAACACAAAATGCTGATGATCCAACGATGACTGCAATCCTGACCAGCAGAGAAGAAGCAAAAGCCTCCTGCACAAGCGAATGCCAGAGCACAAACCATAGAGCACCGAAGGCAGATCCTACAACAGCTCCCACAGTGACCTGGTTTAGTGTATGAAGGCGCCGAGACACCCGTAGCCAAGACTGCACGTGAATAAGACCAGAGTTAGATTGCAGCAAAAACTTAAAACTAGTGCCTACAGCTCAACATTCAGGATATAATGGAACATGTTGGAGGCTTGGAGTTCCCAAGAAACACTTTACTTGACCGACGGAGTTAAACTTAGTAGGGCACTATTCTTACCAGATAGGTGGCCACCGCCAGAGTTGCAGGACCAAGAGTCATGGTCAGATAATTTGTCCCAAGCAAATAGTACACTGCATTGGAAAGGGAAATTAATTAATCACACATTGTGCTAAACTGGAGAAAATTGTATTTGATTTGTTAGAGTGAAAATCTTGTTCACCGTAAGTTTCTTTATCATAAAATAAAATAGTTTTAGTGGGTCAGAGTGAAAATTCTGTTCCTCCTAATTTTATCATAAAATAAAATTGTAGAGCACAAAATAAGCATATTATCTATAATTCAGTTTTGTTCATTTTGTTTATCAGCAATGGAGAGCCACATAGCAAAACGACAAGAAAATAGTATTATTGTTATCAACACACTTAAACCGGCTAAGTAGCTCTAACCAGCCTTTATGCGTGTTGACAGGAGAGTTTATTGTCATGCCGTATCATGATCAAAGTAAAATTGAATACAGGAATCTTTCTGAAGTTCTTACATGAAAGAGCTAGGATGGTCGCAGCATAGAATATGGACTGTGCGTGGGACGATGGCATCCCAGGATCAGACCGCGAAGCTGGTGCAGGTCTTTCATGGTTTAGCATCTTCTTAAGAACCATTGAAAGCAGAGAGTTGCCAACCGCACCCAGCAAAAACCACATAATTTCAACATCATGCTTCCAAATAACTGCAAAAGCAAAAGAACCAGCCACCAGCCATTTACTCTGGCGCACAGTATTACGATTTCAGTAGAGGGGCCAGAATTCCAAGTAATATCACAAAGCTGAGCTCAAGTTCTAGTAAAAAGATCATTTTCAAACATTGTAATGGTTGACTGAAACTCAGCAGTCAGCAGGAAGTTTGGGCATCCATAATTTTATCCCTGACAATAAGCATGCAACTTTACAAATCAGGGCATTTGAATCAGATTAATGATTCTGCATGTCAACGAACAAGGTCCATATGAAAACCGTCCAGCTCATAAAAGTAGAATTCACTGCCTGAGTAGACACCTATACGAGGATAGATTGATTGAAACAATAAAGCAATGTACACTTCCTATAGATCGAGGAATCAGTATATCCTGGAGCTTTGCTTAGTGCCTGTTGGTAAGTTTTTTGGTTCTATGCAACCGTTTTTCAGCTTGGCTAGCAAGTTTCAAAGTCTAACGTTTAAAGATAAGATCTTTTTACAGTACTATATAACACTACAGCAAAGCAAACGTGATTCTCTTATTCTCAGAATCTTTATCAAGAACACCTACAGCATCATGCCAAGTGCCAAGAGACACTAACCATCCGATTCAGCGCAGCCTCCACGGGCGTCCACCAGCTCGCTTCCCACCTTGGATGGGACGGCGCCTCCCCTCCCACAATCGGGTCACTCTCCATGAAAACCCTGCCGCTCCGAACCCTGGTCATCTCCGCCACGCCAAGCCGCGGACTTGGCCGCCTCCGGGTCTGGGGAAGGAAGAACCGATCTTTGGAGAGTGGTGGCCGACTCACCGAGTCGATTAGACAGGGGCGAGGCGGTGGAGCTGGAAACAATAGACGGGGCATGGTTCTTGGAGCGGCCACCCGCGAGACAGCGCGGCGGGAGCTGAACTAATGGAGGAAGAGAGCATCTCGATGACTCCGGGAGAGGGAATTAAGAAGTTGCCGGGGTTTGGATGGATTGCGGCATTGCGGTGGTCTTTGGTAGGTGGCCCTGATGTGGTTGATGTTGACGGGATAGATAATGGCCGTGGCACGTGGGATGACTATTGACTATAGTCGACTGGAGGAAGAGAAGCTGAGACGGAAAGTCTAATGCGCTTCCCGTCGCGCTACGCGACTAGCGCGCGAGTGGCCTGGTGGCCTGGCCTGGTATATGCATGCACGCGTCCGTCAGCCAACATAGATAAAACGTAAAGGCTCCTATGGACCGACGGTCTAACTTGTTCTGTGCAGAAAAATCCGTTACACTCGTCACGATGAGCAGTCAATCCAGGCACAATTAAATTTGCACTTTTGCACTGAATGAAATTTCAAAATACGATAACTTTTCACCAGAGTGACCGTTTTCAATCTAGTTTGCATCACTGTGCTGTTTACAATGAGGTCTACGAAACTAGACCCATGAGCCATGATGCATATATTTTATAATATATTTTATGTATGGTACCTATTTATGTATTAAATTTGTGGCAAATTATGTTGAACATGCAGCTACACATAAATGAACAAGTTTGTAATAGTTTGCATATTAGTTTTTCTTCAATATTTTCTGTTTTTTAAATACTTCATTTTTTGTAAAATTATTTTTTAGTTTCAGTTCAATGAGTTATGATTTATAATTTTTCAGTCACCCTTTCAGGTTCGAATGCCTTCCTAAATCGTTCATATTAGTTGTTCTTCAATATTTCCTGTTTTTAACATTTTAGTTTTTTGTTTCAATGTTCCTTTTAGTTTAATTTATTTTTTGTTTCATTGTGTCTTTTAGTTTCAATTTAAATGAGTTATGAGTTTATTTTTGTTCCTTTCAGGTTCGAATGTCTTCCTAAATCCTTCGTATTAGTTGTTCTTCAATATTTTCTGCTTTTAAATATTTTAGTTTTTGGTTTCAATGTTCCTTTTAGTCTCATTTTTTTTGTTTCTTTTAGTTTCAGTTGAATGAGTTATGAGTTTTATTTTTCAGTCACCCTTTCAGTTTATTGAGTTATGAGTTTCATTTTTCAGTCTCTGTGAGGGTGATGCAAATCTAAAGAAATTCATAACCAATTACTATAAAGGCCTCTTTGGGAAACCGGATGTTAATAATTTCTCTTTGGTGGAATCTGCTGAGTCAGATATTCCGCAAGTCTCATATCTTGAAAATGAAGTCTTCACGGCCGAATTTTCCGAGCAAGAAATTAAGAGGCTATTTTCCAAATGGAGCATAATAAAGCTTCTAGACCTGATGGGTTCCCTGCCGAGTTCTACCAGCTGTTTTGGGAAGTAATAAAAGGAGACCTCCTGTCCCTCGTCTCTGATTTTCACAAAGGTGACATGTCCCTTTTTAGACTCAACTTTGGTACAATTACATTGCTACCAAAACAAAAAGAGGCAACACAGATCCAACAATTGCGACCTATCTGTTTGTTGAACATTAGTTTCAAGATTTTCACAAAGGTTTTGACTAATCGAATAGCCCTAGTGGCCCAAAAGATTATTCAACCATCTCACTCTGCCTTTATGAAAGGGAGGAATATTTTGGACGGTGTTGTCACACTACATGAGACCATCCATGTGATGCATAAAAAAAATTAGACGGGGTGATCTTAAAGCTAGACTTTGAGAAAGCCTATGACAAAGTCAAATGGCCTTTTTTACAACAAACCCTAAGAATGAAGGGCTTTTCACCGACTTGGTGTAATTGGATTGATCAAATAGTGAAGGGTGGTAGTGTAAGCATCAAAGTGAATGATGAGGTGGGGTATTTCTTTCAAACCAAGAAAGGAGTAAGACAGGGAGACCCCCTGTCTCCTATCTTATTCAACTTGGTGGCAGATATGTTAGCAACTCTGATTTTCTGGGCTAAGTCCAATGGTAAAATCAGAGGGGTTGTCCCACATCTAGTTGATGATGGCCTTTCGATCCTGCAACATGCGGATGATACCATTTTATTTTTGGATCATGGTACACTACAAGCCAGGGAACTAAAGCTTGTGCTTAGTACCTTGAGCAATTATCGGGATTGAAAATTATTTTTCACAAAAGTGAGTTGTTTACTTACGGTAAGGCCAAGGAATATGAACAGGAGTATGCGAACATATTTGGATGCCGGTTAGGTGGTTTCCCCTTCCGGTATCTAGGCATCCCTATGAACCATGTTAAACTATCCAACAAGGATTGGGTCACCATTGAGGAGAGATTCTAGAAAAAACTTTGTTGCTGGAAAGGTAAGCTATTATCTGTTGGAGGACGTCTGGTCCTCATTAACTCAGGTGCTAACTAGCTTAGCCATGTTCATGTTATCTTTTTTTGAAATCCCTAGAGGAGTCCTTCAAAAATTAGATTACTACCGCTTTTTTTTCTGGCAAGATGAGGAGCACAAAAAGAAATACCGTCTTGCCAAGTGGAGTGTCCTTTGCACGCCAAAAGATTTTGTTGGTTTAGGAATACATAACCTAGACCTTCAAAATAGATGTCTCCTTAGCAATTAGTGGCTTTTTAGGCTCATTAATGAGGATGGGGTTTGGCAAAACCTTCTAAGAAGGAAATATCTGTCAAATAAACCTTTGTCCCAGGTGCAATATAGACCGGGGGATTCACATTTCTGGGCTGGTCTTATGAAGGCGAAAGCCAGTTTTCTAACTTGCGGCACTTTTAAGGTGCACAACGGGGATAATGTGTGGTTTTGGAAGGACGTGTGGTTAGGAGACAGACCCCTGTATGAGGTCTACCCTACCTTATTTACAATTGTGAGCCGCAAAGACGATACGGCTGCAAAGGTCCTTGGGACTGTACCACTAAATGTTTCTTTTAGACGAGGTTTGATTAATGCAAACCAAATCGCTTGGTAAGATTTAGTCTCAAAAGTGGTGCAAATCGGCCTCACTGATGGTCAAGATGTGTTTCAATGGGACCTTACTAAAAATGGCTTGTTTACGGTTCGGTCCATGTACACAAGCTTCATTAGACACAGAATCCCCCCCGACAAAAGTCCTCTTTGGAAACTAAAAATACTGCTGAGAATTAAATTTTTTTTGTGGTATCTAAAAAGGGGTAACCCTTACCAAAAATAATTTAGCAAAGAGGAACCGGCAAGGAAATACCAAATATTGTTTCTGTAACTCTACTGAGACTATTCAACATTTGTTTTTCAATTGTCATTTTGCGAGCTTTGTTTGGAACACTTTGCATATCACTTTTGGAATTCTACCACCTACTAACTGTGCTAATTTATTTGGTTCCTGGCTATAGGGTTTAGACCTAAAGCTACGAGACCAAATTTTTTTAGGAGCTGCTGTGCTCTGTTGGGTGATATGATTGAATAGGAATGATATGGTGTTTAACAAGGCTAAAGCTAATACTTCCATGCAGGTAATTTTCAGGGCGACGTACTGGATCCGTCAGTGGTCCATGTTTCTTAAAGAGGAGGAACGTCCCATTTTCAAGGAAGGATGCAGAAGATGGGAGACGCTGATTATGTCTGTTTTTGTGAAATTTGGTTAGAACTTGTCAAACCGTATTGGTGTTTAGTGTTTTCCTTTCGGTGCCAGTCTCACTAGATGAGCTGAACTCTGTTTTGTTCCCTGTATGGGTGTGTTTGCCTCATGGTATTTTTTTTTGTAACGTGACGCTCAGCTGTGTACCATCCACGGATAGTAGAAGCTGGAACTTTGTTCCCTTATTAAAAAAGATCGATCGTCCGAAGGTGGTTGGCCGAAGGTTCCCAGGGACCGAAGATTGCTTCGTGGTCCTCCATGGCTTGCTGGCCGAAGGTGCAGCCTGTGCGTTTTGGCCTTCGTGGAGGTCGAGCACAGCTCCTCGCCCAATGGTGGCTGAGCATGACGCGAGCGTGGCCGAAGTCCGCTTTCTCCTGATGACTTTGCTAGCGGCGCCTTCGCTGTTAACCACAAACAGCAAGAGCGAAAGTAGCACGCGTATATTTGATGTATGAAAGTAAGCGGAGGCTGACAATTAGAAGTGTAACGTAGAAGTGGTTAACTCTGGAGTCTGGAGACCCGAAGGTCTCTGGTTCGAAGTCTTGTTGTGTTGTATTTTTTGTGATTGTGAATTAATCTTATTGAGAGGAAGGGAAAAGGCACTTAGCTTTTAGCCTGATTAAAAAGGTTGTAGCGCGTACGTAGGCACAGGTTCCAGGGAGGGGGCACCGAAGGTTGCGACGTGGGCTCGTTGGTGAAAGCCCCGAAGGTTCCGACCGAATCCTTCGTTCATTGGTCACCCGAAGGGTTTCAGCTCAGGATTTTTTTTTTCAAATTTGATATCCGAAGGTTCCATCTCTCGACTTTCCGATAAAAAAACACTCTCTGAAAAAAATTTCGTGCCGAGCATGGTGGACGTCAATGTTGGAACTAGCGTCCTGAACAGGGTCAAGAGGTAAGAAGGCTCCTCAGTGAAGGTCTCTCGACGATGGCCGGGAGAAGGTCCCCCGACTAAGGCCGGGAGAAGATCTTCCGACGAAGGCCTGGTCGGATAAGATCTCCCAATGTACGCTGGCTGGAGAAGGTCCGCCGACGAAGGTCGGCAGGAGAAGGTCTCCCGACGAAGGCCTGACCGGGAGAAGGTCTCCCGATGAAGGCCGGCAGGAGAAGGTCCCAATGAAGGCCCGAACGAAGGTCTTGAACGAAGGTCCCGTACGAAGGACCTAAACGAAGGTCTTGGACGAAGGACCTGAACGAAGGTCCCGGACGAAGGCCCAATAATTGTTCCGAGGGCATCGCGGAGAAGGCTCCACGACGGAGGCTCCGTGAAGAAGGCCCTATGACGAAGGCTCCAACTCGCGAGAGGGGAGAGTGAGGCGGAGGCTAGGGTTTTTGAAAATGAGTTGGAGAGGAGAGAGTCCCTTGCCCTCT